CGTCCAGGACCATATAGTTTTCTCCAAAATACTTATTTTTAATCCACTTTTCAAATTTTAAATTATATTAAGCTTCATTAAGTCTTTTTAGATTCAAGACTAAAAACAATTAATTCTATAGGATTTGCTTTATTTTTGCAGATTTTACAATAGCAAAAACTGAGGAAATAATTCTAAGCTTTCTAACATTACATACATAATGACATCAAATACATAAATTTTGGCATCTTACAGCATTAACCCCAATTCTGGTAGAAAACTTAGACGTTAAAAAGTCAGTCAAAAAATGAAACTTCGAAATGTATTTGTGCGTCTTAATTAGAAAGACTTTCGAACTTACTGCAGAGGCACTGAAGAGCAGCACCAAATGTCGACAGGAATGATCCAGCCAATAAAACCCATTCTGTGGGCCAAGCTAAATTGGCAACAATCATGCCACCACGTAATGATTGCCCATATCTGCAAAAATTTGCATGGTTAAAATTCTGTCTTCTTTAGTCACACTATTTTAAACTAAGGCGAGGAAAATATTTCTCAGAAACTTCAATCGATATATGAACTTTTCAAGGTTGAATTTAATAAAAGTTAATCTCCGATTAAAAGCCGACAAGAAACAAACTTGTCTCGCAATACAGCGCCATTAATTGTTGAACCAAAAACCAAAGCAAGCGAGAAATAAATGAATGATGTCGTCAGCTGAGCAGCAATAGTACCTGCTGGGATTGAGAAATTCGGATCCTTTAAATCTCCTGGAAGTAAAATTTTATCAGTGGGTTATACTAAAAACTGTAGCTTTGAAAGTGCTAAATTAAATCAATGATGTTACTTAATACTAAAATGTTCACTTCAAATGACTAATAAAATCATTTTATCAAAACGAACCGCTCATGTTAGCGCCGGTCAGAATTCCAGTAACTGCTGGGAAATAAATGGCAAGCAACATGAAAAATGTTGTCTTAACGTCCTGGAATATTTCCACATTTCGATCAGCTGATCTTCCATTCAGATATTCGTTTTTGCCAACATAATTCGATCCCAAATTATCTGCAATTCAAATTTTTTTCCGATATCAATGAATCTAATGCTGTCCATTGTCACAAGAATTTGTTATTTGGCTAGAATCACCAGTGTCTTGAAATTCTTAATTTTGTCTGAAGTTATCAATTGGTTACCGACAAAGGCGCTGCTTCCAAATCCCGGAAAGCCATTGATGCAACGTAATTCATTTTTTACAAACATTTCGGAGCATTCGCCATTTGGGCAAAAATAATTTAATAATGGCCCACTGTAACAAAGAAAGTTTTCTCAATATATCGAATTAAGACAGATGGAAATGTAAGAAAAAACTTTAACATTTGAAATTCGCAAAAAAAATTGAAGGAAACGAAAGTTAAATTTAAAGAAAACTAACGGCGCAGAAGCATTACAATAATTGCAAATATCAGAAAGCGGAGCATCGCCAGGTAGAACAACTCGTGCTTGTAGTAAATGTTTGCCCAACATGCACACACTAAATCCACAAATATAAAGAAAAAGAAGAATGTTAAAGGCTTAAATTTTTGATGAAGATGAAATTAGGATGGAAATTTAACTGCGCAAAAATCGCCTTCAAATCTTTCAAAGGATCTCTTCTGTTTCACTTATCAATTAATTATTTCAGCTCAAATGATGAGTTTTCGGCAGATTAGTTCACTTTGAAAATTCTGAAAACGTACTGCTGTGCATCAGACGATGTGATCGTTTTTTCGATTCCACCAGCGTAACAAGCGAAGATTGATAGGATAACACAAAACAGTGATATCTTCAATTGTTCAACAAAATAAAATCAAAGTTGGAAATTTTCTTTTTGCCATCTCTACATTTTAATTTAAGTCTCTTGCATATAATATTTTAATTTGCTCTTTTGAACGTGAAGAAAAAGTTATCAGCACACAAAAAAAAAATCACCGGCGCAAAGAGCTGGACGAATTTAACTCCCATTGCTACAATTGCAAATTCCAGCAGCAACAAAATGGTGGAGTAAAATCGCAAGTTGTGCGACATCCAACCTAACAGCCCTGGAAATTTTATTTTACGAGCGCAATTTTTTCTTGATAAAATTTCTTGAAATTATATAATAAAAATTACCCGTGTCTGAATGAACTTCTGTACCACCGATTGTTAAATCAGGAAATATGTAAAGCTGAAATTAAACTGAGATTTGATGGCAAACTCTTAGTCTTACATATTCCTGAAGTTGCTCAGGATTATGTCTAAAAACCAATCATAAACTTGAAATTTCGTCCAAAAATTTCGTCAGGAAGTTGGGTTAAAAAATTTAAGATTTTAATGGCATAGTCCAAAATAAAGAGAATTTTCGACCAGTAATATTTCGACGCCACCGACAAGATACATCGCTGTAGCAACAGTATTCGCTAAATAAAATAGTATGCCAACAGCTGAGCCGAATTCAGGTCCAAGGTTTCGCGAAATCATGAAATATGCACCACCACTTTCTACGACGCCATTTGTTGCTATAGCTGATAAGCTTATGCAGGTCAAGAACGTCTACAAATAATTCATTTAGTTGATTTTAAGAAATTTCAAAGTGTTCATAACAATTGTGTCGAATTTAGTGTTTAAGGTGCAAAAATCGCTTTCAAATTCTTAATTATTAAGAAATAAAAAAGCAGAAAGTCAGGTAGATCATGGCAGTCCACAAAAAATTTAGCAGAAGTTCAACAGAAGAGTGAAATAAATTAAAGGAGAGAAACAATGATAAAATGAATACCAAAGGATCAAGCGTATTATTGAGTGTTAGATGAAATAATTGGAATCAGTGCTCAAATCTTGTCAAATTAACTGAATTTATTGAAACTATTCAGAAGGTGACAACTAACACAAAGGCAGCAGATGAACAATAGAAAAAAGGTTTGAGCGATACCAGCGATACCAACCATCCAAAAAAGGCGTATAAACATAGTTACACCAAGGATATGCTGAATTGTTGGTAAATAAACACCTAGCATAACACCAAGTTCTGCCTAAAAATACAAAGTGGCAATTGCAAATGCATATTTGTCAAACATTTATTTACAAATAACATACAATTTTTTCTTGGAATTTATAACCGTTTGATTAAAGTTTTTTTAAACTCGGGGATTCTAACGAATAAATACTGCTTACCTTAGCATGCTTGCTTTTTTCACGTTCTAATGGTCCTGGCGTCGTGTAACCTTTGAGGTAGGAACTAATGAAAGGTTCACTTGGCTCTTCGAACAAAGCCAAGTTATTTCCACCGATACTTTTCCTCGCTTTGAATGAGTCCCATAACATTGAAAAACGGCGGGAATCATCTACAAGGAGTTACGATGCAAAAATTAGCCCTCATCATCCAAGTTATGATTATGATACATTTATTAAAAAAATTCTAAGTAATGTAGTGATAAGAGAGAACAAACAACCTTCCTTATCGATCCCAATAATGATACTTCCTTGCCGACTATTTCTATCTTGTCGAATCTCTGCATTTCCACCTGTTGCATTTACACTGCAAAAACCTCATATGAAATTGAAATTGCGAAAGATAAAGCTTATGCCTAAACCCCCATTATGCCAATTGCTTTGAATACGGTTGTATTCTATTTCCACTTACTAAAAAAATTAGAATTGTGACAATTCAATTTTTTGAATTATTTAAAGGAAATGGATAAAAATTTTAAGCAAATTATGAGCACTATGACAAAGTAAAAGAAATTCATGCGCTTTTTCAAAACTTTTTGATTTTCGTTCTCTTTTACTTCTTCGTTTAATCAAATTTGCAGGCTTGAAATGTTTGATATGAAAATTTTGCAAGTTTTACAATGTTAAAAACAACAAAAAATTTTAACTTTGGAGTTTAAGAAACAAAGTCAGGAAGTTGGTACTTAGCATTTGATGTTTTCAAGATTTCCCGTTAATCCTCGATGCAAGCAATGAATTTTTGCCGTAGCATACAACTATTTGCCATTGTGAAAGGCACAAGGTGTTGTCACAAACCTCGTTTCAGTTGCAGAATCATTTTTTGAATTAGCCACTGCTGACTGATTTTCCCGGAAGATCTCTTTCTTCATCAAGCTAATAACTTTCCACCACGGCCCCCACCTTAAAAATACACAAACAGTCTTACTGGTAGTATTTACTCATTCGTACACATTTGTGGCTAGTGCCACAAATTGCAGTCAGACCAGCTGCGATTAATTTGCTTTTTGGATTTCCATTGATCATTTCTTTATTTGATTTTCCTATACCATTACTCATTTTACGTTAAATGGATAAACTAGCTGCAAAATTTCACCTATCATAAAATTTGAAGGACAAAATATTTGGAGAAATTTGTCTAAATAGAAAAATCAGCAACTTTTTCTTTTCTTGCAGAGTTTTTCAGAGAAACACATGACTTCTGGTCACTTTAAAATAAAGCTAATTGGATATTACAATAGCAACAACATAGTCCAGGTACATTAAGCTTCCTTCTAATTAGTTTGCTATACAGCAATGTAACACAAAACATGTAGTAAATAATGCAGAAAATCTATATCAATTCATTAAAAAAACAAAATAATTTAGGAAAAAAGGATGCTAATTGGATGGTAGCCAATCTGTTCTCCTCACAGCAGGTGATAGTTGACAGTATCGTCTAAGATGCTACTAGGATCCTTCATTTACAATATCGTTGTCAGTTCACCTCTTTTAACCGGTTTTGTTTTTTTTTTTTTACTATTCAATACTACTACTCAATTGGCACAAAATTTTGCCAAAATTTTTTCTTGTTTCATTCAAACTATGCTCAAATATTTTATATTTAGAAGTAAATATTTCTATGAAATAATTCTTTGTTTATTAAGGTCAATCCAAAATGCTTCCAATAAAGAAATAAACAATTAGTTAGCTTGTTCAATACCTTATCTAATAGTGTATTCCATTTTTTGATGATTTCGTTGAATATTCATATATATATTTTTTTCATTAACAATCTCGAAAGCATTAAAACTACTGACATTTATGGACTTATTTTTGGTCAGGTTTTGATGGTTCAATGACAAATTGCTAATGCGAGTGAAAAAGTCATGGGATTCTTTTCAGTTACTTCGCTTTTTTATTTCAGAAATTGATGACTGTAGATCATAACTCGAAAAATCCCCGAAATCGAACTTAACACTATTTTATGTGGCAGTAGAAAGTAAACCAGTAAAAACTCACCAAGTTCAATAGACCAATTAAAAAGAAGCCGTCATCGCCTTAGTATAACAACTTTGCTTGCAAAAATCCATATTTCTAGAATGGGTTGCATTCTAAAGGCCATAAGAATTTTCAAAGTCCAATTTAAACTATTTGAGATTTTAGCTTAAAAGTTTTTATAGGAAATGGCAATACTCAATGCTTAAGTTACTTGCCACTTTTTGGATTTGTATGTCATTAATCAAAAAGGAATATAAGTACACAAATGCAATTATGTTTCAGATTGAAACTTTTGCAAACATTTACCAATAATATGCAGTATCAAAAATGATGAGCGCTAATGGCAGCCAATAAAGGTTGGATAAAATAAGTCCGATATAAATTACTAAGATTTGTTCGAAATCACTGAGGAAGTGAAAACCGAGCAAATTTTTATTATTGTCATTATGGAAAGCCGATAATATTGCTTAATGAGCATTTACTTACGAGTCATATGTAAATATGAGGATATAAAGGAAAATAGGAAAATACTTTCTAATAAAAAGTGAACGATTCAATAAATTGCGAAAACTGCCAAAAGAGATGGATCGTTGTTTGTCGGTAATTTTATTAATGGAATTTATTTTATGATTTCACCAAAAGAATAGATTAAAAACAAAGTTTATATATATATGATTTCACCTTCAAGTATCGCAAAATTAAAAAGAAAAAAAATCTCAAAAATGAAAAAACACTTCAAGAAGCAAGCTTAACACCAATTATAAGTAATCATTCCAGCTGTCCAAATGAAATATCTGAAAAGTTCAAAAATCAGATAGAAATAAACTTTCTCCGTCTTTCACCACCAAGGAGGGTATACGATTTGTGGTCGTGAAACAACCACAGCAAACCAATTTTACATACGCATGTTAAAACAACTCATGCCGACTTCTCCTCCCACCTTTCATGTCGTAATTTCCTTTCTTAAACGTTCAAAGAATGTATTCTAAATGATTTTACACTGAATGATTTATAGCTTGATCGGCAAAATTTTTGGAAAATTGATTCATTTGATTTGCAAAGATACCCAATGATATTCTTGTGAATAAAATTCAGTGGACGAAAAATCATGATGAAGTTTATTGAAACTTGAAAAGCGATTTTTTTTTCATAAAGAAGATGTTCATTTTCTTGCCAGATTCTAAATTAAAAGCATTACTGAGTAGCGAGAATGAACTAGGATTTTGATTTTTGTTCAGTTTTTTTAAATTGGAAATGATAATAGCTAATATTTAGATGTAACACATTTGATAAAAAGAAAACAGCTTAATGGCAATTGAAATAGAAGAAAAATTTTCCAGCTCGAGTGATAAAGTTAACAAAAAGATAATTGGCAAAATTTGTTTAAAATTGAAATACCCATCACATATCAACGACTTTCAGTTTTCAAGAATAAAGTGATGGTAAAACAAAATTTGAAAATTTTGACACAGTGAAATATATGTTTTGATGAGAACGTTTGATAATAAAAAATAACTTACATCATGGAAGTGACCCGGATGAGTAGAGAAAAAGAATTCTTAGAACATCAAACGTAAAATATTTTTACATTTTGATTATGGCGGGAAGATCGGTTTAGACCGGTTCCTCTTGCTTCTAATTTAAAAAGTTGGTAAAGCCCTTTTTTGCAACTGTTCTGAATATATCCATGCTCGTATCTAAATGGACGATATTAGAAAATAATGAAGTAATTGAAAGTAACTACCTCGTCGTTTATCAAAAAATTCGAATGGTATTACAATACAGCTGTATTTGTTTACAAACAGGAGACATTGCGGAATGTTCATTTAAAAAGTGGTGAATATTACAAAATCCCAGCTTCCCGAGCATTTGATATTTCATAACCCGCTTAATAAGTCAAAGTATTATAAGTGCACCTCTTTTTTTTACATTTTAATGTAAATATCTGAATCACTTTTCTGCAAGAATGAGTTATATTCGGTCAACCAGTTGAAATAAACTAGTGTTTAAACAGTTAAACTTAATTGTGCTTGATTTGCTTGCAAAAACCTTTTCAAATTAAAAACCGAAATTTTCACAATAACGCCAACATTTCGGAAGGAACAACCAGGACACGAAGGTATTTCGAGTAAGTAAAAGGATATATCAGTGAGAACGGGAAGTAATCAGGAAAGTTTCTCTAGTTTCTTGGCAAGCATCAGCGCTTTTGTTGTAATAATATAGTTTCATCTCGTAGCACCTGACGGAAGGTTTCAAAAAGAAAGATCCATATGACCTTCATAATGCTAAATCATTAATAAGATGATCTGTCAAAAAATGTTGACCTTGCATATGACATGTTCATAGTATCTTGTAATGTATCTATCATTCTTATGAAAGAGTAAGATAAGGCGAAAATTTTCGCCAACTGCTACCACTTTACATATGCAACTGTTACCCATGCCAAGAAGAGAGACTGTACATTATTCGTAGTAAAATACCGTAACTTGCAAAATAAATAAATGAATCAGCAACTAATTAAACATGAAGAAACGAAAACAGTACTTAAAAAATGATTCTTTAAAGATTTCTCCGATACCTATCCCAATTGAAATTATAAAAACTAGCATTGCTCTGAAATCAGCAAGCAAACAACTCGAGAAGCAAAACAGACTACCTGCTTATTTCAATCTCTTTCATATTCTATTTCATGTTTGTCAATCATTAAAAAGTAAATGCAGGCACTTTTAATTAAAGTTTGGAGAAATTACAGCAGGAACGGAACCTAATCTAACTTTTACCTTATCAATACGAGTTACATTTTAACCTATTACACATTTCCCTTTTACAATAAATACAAATTTTCTTCGCAACAAATATTTATTGATTTAACATTGCATCGGGACGAATAGAATGGATGAAAGTTTCATTTTTCAGTCACAACATAAAATATTGTCACTAAAAAAATTTGAAAATCAAATTGAAATTCTGTTCCAAACCTGCTGGCAGACGAAAAGATAAACACATAAGGCAAAAAATAGCAGCATATTTATATGAAGCATATTTGTTAAATTTTTTTTTCTCTCAACATTAATTGTTTTCCCATCATTTTCAAGATTCTCCACGAAAGAACGGAAGATATCCGGAACATCTTGATGAAGCTGAATGCCATAAGAGTTTACTACTTTTACCTGTATGTCATTAGGACCTAATACCGGGAAGATATCCAGACATTCGCCCATAATAGCCGGGAGTAGGTCATCATCGATTGCCCCAAGAATCATGTGTACGCTGTTCTATGTTACAGTGTTGTAACATAGAAGACTTCATCCTTCCTAAAAATTGCACACCCCACGAAAGTAAAAGAATGAAAGACGCAATACCTTTGGCCAAGTGGCACATTCACTTTTGATTCATCCACATTGAAGACAGTCAATCTTGGCTTGCTCGGTAGTCGTGGTAACTCTGTCATCTGCAACTAAAATATGCATCGACCATATATGACGCTGATATCGAATGATACACACATTCATTAATTATCAATTGACATAAAAAAGTCCGGGAACTACTTTTACAACGAATTATTAAATATTATCTCAGGATTTAAAGAATTTGAAACACTGACGTATAAAATACGGAAGTCAACGTCGAATTGGCGTGTCGATTTCTAAGGTTGATAGAAAACATTTCGAGGTTCGAGTGAACCAGTTTATTTCACTTTTCAATAGGCTTTGAGATACTGCTAATTGAGACAATCCGGACGTTTAATCATATTACAAAATTACTCGCAAGGCAACTTTAATTTCTAAATAGATTGTTGGAAATGAAAAAAGAGTTGAGAAATGTATAAACTAAAAGAAATTTGAAAATGAAAAAATTTAATTAATCAGTTATATCAAAAACATGGTTTCAGATTGCACGTTAAAGTTTAACTGAATGTGTTAGACAAAGTTGATATAAATTCTTAGTAGAAATAGCGGATGAAAATGATACACGTATGGATTGATTAGAAGGATAGATTTAGAAAAGATAATTTTTGTCTGTCATGTTATTCTTTTGTCCATTTATCTACTTTCTGCATTAGTTCACTGAAAATCTGAAATTTACCTTTCAAAGGTACTCAGTACTTTATTGATCCCTTAGAAAATACTGCTTCAGTATTCCATTCTTTATTTCGACTGTCACCAGAACATTACTATGTTATGAAGATGATCAAGCTTGATAATATCATACGAAATTTCATTTGATGGGAGAATGACAGCATGTGATATTAAATATCACAGTCAGTGTATGTAACAACTTCAACAGTATGATATGATAAATCGATTTCATTTTTGGAAAGTTTCTACGAAAACAAGAACTAAATTGCAGTCTGGTTAGAAACGTCTGAATAGGAAACCCGTTGGGGAGTGATTTATTTGTCCCTGAAAGTAACTGCAATATTTTACAGGAATGTTGATCATTCCTTTTCCTCCCTTTTTCTTCCCCTCTCTGCCTCACCTGTCCGCCATATTCAGTCAAAATATGTAAACCGATATTGGCCGTACTTCATTTGCATAATCAAACCACCAGCAAAATGCCAACAAATTCATTGTCCCGTGAATATGTTTTTGCTAGCAGAAAAGCCAGAGAAAAATTTTCTAGTATATATTAATAGTATCATTTATTATCATAAAAAAATATTTGTTGCGACCGAAAAAAATGTCAACAAGAAAATTATCTTCACTTTCCAAATAGAATTTTTCCAGCTTTACGCATAGTAATCCTTTCCATTGATCATTGGCAATTGTTTAATTTGTTATAAACTCTTCTCTCTTTCTTCAATTCCTAGTAGTTGCAGAAAAAAAACAACACGTTCAACTTTCAGTAACATTCATAAAATGATTGGGATTGTGGCTAAGTGGAGAACAAATTTTTAGCAACATATTAGCAAATGTAGTTTTTGACAAATGAAATCCTTGGTAAAAAATACATTAAGCTTTTGTATGGTAATTTCTACATTCTACTTAATATATTGCTGATTAAATTCACAAATCATAACATATCAAAACACTGTACCGAACTTCACTGTCTTTTTCTTTTTTTTTTTTTTCGGAGAGAAGGAGGAGTTATTTTTGAAAATTGGCTAATTTCGTTCACCAACTTACACAATAACTACTGTCTCTATCAGCTTGCTATGTCGGCATAAATGTCAAAACACTAAGTTCCTTTAACTTTCTCTTTACCTTCCTTTCCTTCTGCGGTTTACTTCTCTTCCTTTGTTCTAAATTTATCTCTTTAATTGCTTGCCTCACAATTTTCACAACGGTGCAGGCAAATCGTTCCTTGATTATTTGCCTCTAAACAATGCATATCTCCTGATATGTGTAATGCGACAATAATAAACTGGCGACTTCGGTTACACTTCTTTGTTGATGAATTTCAACAATTTTATTAACAGAATCAACATAATTGACACTATAATAAAATGTGAAATTTCCCAAAAAGGATTCACCTCAATGACTATATTCAATAAATTGAAAATATATAACTGCCAGCGGATAATCATGTCTTCATGGTTAGCAGAATAAGTAGCAGTAATTGAAATAAGTTCATTTATAACAGTTCAGGAAATCCAAAAGAAAAAAAAAGAAATTAGCAAGAAATATGAGAATTATTTGAATCCTTTCAAGAACGGATTTCCGATATGGACACATGCTCCTATCAGTTTCCTGAAAGAAAAGGAATCTTTACAGTTCATCAAGATTTGAAACATCAATCATTAAGATTGAGGTCTCTACGACATTCAAAAATTTAATTTTCCAAAAACTTACGTGAGATGAAGTTTATGAAGAAGACAATGACAAGCTTGTATTTGTTCAATGTAGAATAGCGAATAAGCTCCAACGCAATCCTTTGCGAAACTGATGAGTGTTTCGCGATTCGTCAAATCATGGCCACATCTATGATTTGTAAATTTGTGTAAGGGATTTTTAATTTATCTGTTAGCAGCTAGCAAACCTAAATGAAGAATCGAAATTTTACCCTTCTTCTTCAAGAAAATTCATAAGCGAAAAAAAATGCCAAAAAATTATATTTGAGAAGTTGAAAAGAAAATTTTCTGCTTTACTTTTTTTTTTATAGCACTCGATTGTAACATTTTTGTAGCACGATCTAATGCAATAGTTGTACTTGAATATAGCATTTAAACTGTCATATATTTTTTGCATAAGTGGACCAACAATCGGTTTTGTTGTCTCATTGAACGTAAACTGTAAGCAAGCGATTCAACTGGTTAGATTTTAAGAAAGATAGAAAAGAGCTGCTTTTGCCAAAGAATCGAGACTGCAGGACCAAAAAATGTCAATTATGGCCAACGAAGGAGCCTATAAATTAAACTTAAGCAAACAATTTACCTCAACAAGCAAACAAATTTGGAAACTTAATAATGAACTCAAAAAGGAAACAGCCTTAGACAACAACTATTCAAGTCACTTAGTGATATCGGTGATTCACTGTAAAACCTCAATGGTAGAATAACGGTTATTTTAGCGACACAAATACTAATCTTTTCTTGTTTTAAATTGAAAACTTAATTTGAAATTTGGACCGTATTTCAGACAGATAGTATTTTGCAAAAAGTTCCAGACAGAAGTACCTCCAAATTATCGAAGTTAATTTCATTGATGAATGTGGGCTGAGACCAATTATCACATCTGAAACATGTTTTAGTGCTTGTTAATGGCATAATGCGCCTTCATGCACAAAAAAAATTCCCTGAAAGATTTCAGAACTATTTTGAAATTTTGAGAAAAGAAGGAAAGTTGAAAACATTCACTTGTAATCAATTTTTTGTCTTAAGCAGATTTCTTCAGCTTGAATAGCTGGCCCTTGCTTGCCAAAACAATCTACCATGTCTTGTATATCACCGCCAATAGGAGCCAAGTTATAGCCACAGTCACTGGAGCAATTATCCAGCGAATTCAATGCTTGCTCCCGGCATTCGTCATCTTCGTCACATTTGCATCGTCGCATTAAACTAGTCTAAAAACAAAAATAATCACTTGGATTGGATTAGAGTTCAGTTTGATTGACAAAAGGAAGCGAAATACCTAAACTCATTTTTTCTTATAATATAACTAGTAACTGCTTTATGTTTCATGCGAAAGCTCCGAATTGAAAAGTCTTATCGCATTGTAAATCTTTGCAAAAAAGTAGAGGAACTGGAAGTATGCTCAACAAACACAGAGAAATCCTTCAATTAACTTACCACAATTATTATATCGGCAATAATAATCATGAAGACGATCGCCATAAATCCTGCTGTTTTGCACATGTTCCATAGAAGTTACCGGAAAAATTATTAACATTTCTGCTCGTTATTTTATATAAATTATAAGAGTATGTGAGATTTCCTGGAAAATTTTATGCATTTTCCATAGAAAATGTAAAACTTGATGGAGCTAAAAAGTTCTTCCAACAGGCATTTACTACGACGGTCTATATTCCCGACTAAAAGTCTTGATGAAAGCAGGACCTGACATAAATGTCTCTTGAAGAAATGAGTTCATGATGAACATGGTTCATGTTTCATGAGAGCCTTTCATTTCTCTGACCTTTGCCCTGAAACTTCATAGAGAAGCACAGGGTCAGGATGAACACGATCCATTTATTTTTTATTCCTCTTCATGTGCATAGTCTCTTCCCATTTTCTCTCATCACTAGGACTGCCCATTTCATCCTTAATCCCAGCCTCCTCTTTCATCCTTTACTTCACCTTGCCTCCTTATGATTCTTCGCTTCCCTCTTATCTTATCTTTGACCTTCTTCCGATTATTTTTTTGTGCACTGTGTGTTTTCCATGTATAATTGTTGTTTCACCAATTTTGGTTCCATAACTCATTGATGAAGCATTTGTGAAAATACTCATTGATGACTCACTGATGAAGCATTTGTGGTAAATTTTAAAGCGGCCTTGGCATTTGAAAATGTTTCAAACTTGCCGCTATGAATTTCATAAACCTTCCTGTATGACCTTTTTTATGTTTCATTCGGGAGTTGTAAAAGGAGAGTAATTGTTGCCAATTTCAAAAGTGCAAAAATAAGTTTATTAAAACTTGCATGTTGTGAGAAATAGCTGAAATCAAAATATCTACTGAGAAGCAAAATGAAAATACAAACAGAGAGGAAAAAGAAACAACATCAGATACCATTTCCAATGATATTCGTTTCAAAAGATTCATTTCCAGAACTAATTCATCTCTCATAGCTACAAAATATTAAAATGGAAATTTCTGTGCATAAATACGACGGGAAAATAAAACAAAACACAGGTGTGAAGAGCAATGCGCAAAGTGTTAATGCCTTTCCATAAAAGCAAAATTAATATTTGAAACATTTGAATCCAAAAAACTTCATTGATATTCATCGTCTATTTCCTTAAGAAATTAACCCAAAGCATATTTACCTCGACAACCTTACATAAAATTACGAACTAATGAAAGACAATTCAACAGTTCTCATTTTTACCTTTTTAAATTGTCGGAAAAATTAAGTTCAGTACATAAAAACTTTTTTGATGGACATGGAATAAACAACATATGAAGTTCACCACCTTTTACTATACTTCAATCCTGCTGAAATCCCTCAATTCCATCACCTCATCTACTATTTCTTGTGATACAAGTCTAAATCCTATCATCATATTGAATGACCTCAAAGTGCTCCATTAATGTCCCCATTCTCTCCGATAAGAGCGCTCATCTATCTGCAATTCCACTTTGTGTAGCATTTTCTTGTTCTTCGTTGTTCCAGCAACTTCTAGCAGTGATGTTTTTGTACCATACTTTCCGTTAAGTTGTTCGTTGACCGCATGACTTCATTCCATTTGTGTCATCTTTTGTACAATCAACCGGAGAATTACAGAGTTAACTTTTGGCATTTCTTTTTCTTTTGAAAAGCAAAAGAAATTTTCTTTTTTTTCTTACCTTTGTTATAACAGTCAAAATTAATTAAAATGAATGGTCTTATTTAGAGAAGTGACAGATGACATTTTGTGTAATTTGTTAAATATTTCGGATTTGCTCATTATTTCAAAAAGATATAGCATTTATGTGAATTCTCACTTAAATTTGGACAATGCGTACTCACATACTTGCTTAAAATTTCATCACTTTATTAACATCAAACACGAAATTATTGATCCGAATTAGGTGATTACTTATTTAAAATACTTTGAGATATATTTCTACTAATCGTGCATTAGAATCTGAAAACTCATACATAAACTCAACTTGTGAAGGGGGAAGAATTAGTGGTAGCTGTTCTAATTATTATTGACACTAGAAGTGCAGAAACTATTGGTTCAACATTAAGTTGAACTATTTCGTAAGACAAATTCACATGTCTCTTCAAAGTAAAAGGAATGGTTATTGGAAAAAAACTGGTTCAACCAAATCAGATTGATGTTTTTGTTGTTGCAAGGTGGAAATGTTTTGCACCTTTTTGTAGAAGTCGAAAACCGCGTGAAGGGAAGGAAAAATATTGCCGTCTGCCTGAGGTAGGAAGGTGAAATTATTTCGTTTACTGATCTTCGATTTTTTTCACTGATTGACTGTGCGATTTCCTGCTTTGAAGATTCCCATCAGAACAACATAGAATACAATCATGACAGTTCTTCTCCCATTTCTTTTCTATCTTCCTCATTCAAGAACTTCCAAAACAAATTTTATATCAGTACTCCTGGTCAAAATGACTTAGGAGTGCAACATACTTTGTCAAAAGGCAAAACAAATGAAAAAATGAAAAATAAATTATCGCTGCTGTGGCAGATCCTTTTTTTCATTGACAAATAGTAAAATTTCGGTTTAGAATCTAGATTTCGACAATTATTTTCGCTCATAAAAAACTTACTTAAACGAATTACGAAATCTGATCTATTCCTTCTGTTCTGTGTGTTGTCATCCCATACTGAGAAGAATCTGGCTTTCAAAATGTCAGCGAACCACTTAGATCTTGTAAATATTTCAGATCCTAGTGGAAATTTTTGAATGGAAGTTACTACAGTACTCTTGGATTCAAAATAGACATGTTAATCGCTTTGTAGTACTTTCCCATCCTGCAAGATTCGCAGCTGTAGTTTGACAGTTCAGAAGGAATCAACGGAAGTAATTATTCTTCAAAAAGAGAAAATCATATGATTGCTTCGAGGAATGTGAAGCAATAATTATTGAAAATACTGCAGTTACTCGAAAATACTGAAACTATGATAACATTGTTACTATTGTTGCACATAAAAAACACTATTATGCTGATGAGCTGATCGCAAATAACAGGTAATAAAAAGAAAATCTTCGGTTCAAGTATGGTGAAATAGTGTTCAAAAATAAGAATGCAATAATTGACCTAACAAATTTTTGCTTCTAGTTCAAATATCCAAAGTGATTATTTCTAGCAGCGTTTCATATTCTGAAATTTCTGTGGAATTGAACGGGAACTTTCATTTCAAGTTTTCAGTCGAGTCGAAGTCCTCAAAAATAGGTGTGTTTAGAAAACTAAAAAAGAAAAGGCAATTTTCTCACGTCAGTTTAGCAACCTCAAATATTCCCGTCTAAATTATTGAAAAATGCCTCACGCTTCTTTCTATTTAAGATGAAATGAAAAAAGCAATAAAAAAGAAATTTGATTGATCATCGAGAGTACAAGAATTGAACCTCAAATGCAGTACTATTTTTTCTGCCCTTCAATTGGACTTAATTAATTTTTGAAATACGGTGCAATGCAAATAACTCACAGCCCTTAAGTTAATAGAAGCAGTATTTCACGCTATCGAAGTAATGTGTGCGGTAAATAGAATACCGTAGTGAGGGGCTGCATTTAAAATAGTTAATTACTAAGCCAAGAGAAATCTATGAGGCAACTGGAAGAGGTTGGCGCACTTTCCCACGAAATACTAAAACAACTGTAAATTGAACGGTTTCTTTCAATGAAATTGCATTTTTAGACTTTATTTGATTCAGGATGAAGTTTACGAAAAAATACTAGTAATTAACAAGTAAAAACTAAATTCTACTACATATATATATACTTCATTTTTCATGCAAAACATGGTTCACTCAATGCTTGTGTTCACAGAGGAGAAATTCGGGGATTCACCACGATGTAGAAGTTAGCATATTCCTTTATTGAAGGAGATATTTGATTTTAAAGAATTTGAAATATTTTTTGAGTGAGGATGGGATTGAACTTCCCATGATTGTCTGCATTTTCACAGTACAGGCTTAATGACGATGAAATTCAAAAATTTCACCTTTCGATGAAAAGGAACATCGGGTATATGTTGCAACGACTTTGTATTTAGAGAATCAAAGGGTTTAAAGCAGAAGTGATAATGGATGCCAGAACTGAATTGCTTACAAAGAAGTAAAAATTGAATTTAGACACCTAAGAACGGGGATTGCCTAATTTCTTTTAAGCAAAAATAAGAAATTGTAATTTAGCATCAATTTTCACAAAGTAAGATGATCTACAGTTAAAATCGCATTAAAAACTATTAAATCTCTCTGTTTTGAATTCTCCGAAAATCGCAATTCAGAATGAACATGAAGATTACGCTTTTAAACTACATTTTTTTTTCTAAACTTTAAATTCGGAACTTTAATACCAGCAGTTTGGAACCAGAGATGCACTACTGAACTGGGATATATGATCTCTACTCACTTAATTAATAAGAGACAGAAATTAACAAAGCGAAGATAGAAATCAAGAAAAAGAAAAAAATATCCATTCGTATAATAACAACTACAACATTAATCATAACATATCGTTTTGGAAATAGTTAGAGGGTTCCTTCACCTGATATTGCGACATCATGAAACTGAAACAGTGCTGGGAGCAGTAAGAGTAGGATCAACAATTAAGATTCTCAGTAGTAAGATCGTTTTGAGATGATTTTCTTACACTGTGATTCGATCGCTGATGATGTATGAGCTGAAAGGAGTTCTGTTTTCTAATTTGGAACCTTATTTCGATCAAAACATAGCTCAGTGGATACATACTGTGCGTATATTTTCTACGGCGACTTTTTTAAAGCGATTTATTGGTGTAAAATAATTTACATATAAAAATATTTCCTACATTTCAAGATAAAAGTTTCTAAAATTAACATATATAAACAAAATATGGACAAAATAATGAATTAAAAAGGGCGAAAAATAAGTTAAAAATGTAAAAAAGCCAAAAATCTACCTTGTCGTTTCCTACTACTTAAAAGTTTATTAGTAACTTATTATCTTAGAAATATCTGATGATTTTCCTGAATTTGTTCATTTAAATGGTCACATAATTAATTAGATTCATCTCAAAGGAGAGATTTCGTCTTCGACAAATGATTCGATACTACATTAGAGGAAGTTTGTTCAGCAATAATTTAACAGGTGCATGTATTAGTCGTATGTTTATGTTGTGCGATTCATCAAGCAGCCTCTTTGAACAATTGAAAATTTTTGATCTCATCAGCAATGTTCTTGAAGAAAACTGAATTCTATAAAATTTTCAAGAACTTTACAATATAAAAAGAATGAAAGTGATTTAAAAAAATTCTATATGAAAAGAAAAATATAAACATTATTTGAAGAAAAAAAATATAATCAATATAAAATTTTATGATTCACTGATAAGAAAAAAAATTTTATTTGGCACAATAGTGTAAGTAATAATTCACTTTCAGCAAATGTGATTGAGCATAACACTGATAAAGCATTACTTCAATGCGTCAAAAGTTAAATGAACTTTTGCTAGGGAAAGGTTTCTTTTTTAGCCACCAACAAAGGAACCATTAATTCATTTGCATTCATTCAATTACGAAATCAGATTGAATCAAATTTACTTCTTCCTTTCCTTAATGACAACAATAATTAGATGATCCTTCACAAAAACTTGGATTTCCATGCCGCATTCAACCATTACAACAGCTAGAACCCAAATACTCTCAAATAAGCAATTTGTTCCCTCTGATTCGCTGGAAAAATTACTGCTGTCTCATGTGAATTTGACAGCCTTTTTCTAATCTCATTCCTAACGTTTGGCCCGTTTTGTTTAAATAATAGGAAAAAGTGCTAACGAGCATTCTGAACGAATATAAATACTTCCTGATCACCCATAAAGCTTGTTTAACAAATGAAATCTTGAATTTGAAAAAATAAAATCACACGAATTACAATAACAAATGCGTGTTAACCTATTAAGCTGCCTGCCTACACATATCGTAAATAGATCATTGCTGAAGCAACGAATATAATGGGAATATGATGAACTTCGATTGTTGAATAATATAAAGAGAACATTAGGCAAAAAAAAAAAGCAAACAAAAAATAAATAAATAAACAAAAGTAAAAGTAAATGAAATCAAAAGAAAATTGTAAACGAATGTGGTTATGAAACACGGAAGTAAGCAAAAAAAGTTCTTAGAATAACAACAAAACCAAGAAATACAAAAAAATTAAGGACATAAATCAGTAATAAGTTATATGACACATTAGCGAAGTTCAATCAAAACAATCTCATGCAAACTTAACCAATATTCATCATGTGTACTAATTGAACATAATATGTATCCTTAATGTGAACCTCTTTCTCCGCACAAATCTGTTATGCTTTCACCGGTCAAAACTCGAATCTATGGTTTCAATAAGTCAGAGTGATTCATGAAAAGGTACAGAAAGATGCGTTAAATAATAATTGTTGTTTAATGAAAGACACAAAAGTTTAATTAGCTTAATTTTAAAAAATTAGTTTAATTTTTAGAAAGTTCATTTAATTTAACAGTGAGTTGACACAAGATTGCCATATTATGTGGCATAATTGCATAAAACTGTTTGATATCTTTATAAAATTCATATCGAGCATTTATAGACGCGATCCAAAAAGACAAAAACTGATGCGTGCTTAGATCAACAATGATTTTTCGTAGAGAAGAGAACTCTTGAATTTTAAATGAGGTACTCTTAATTGATTACACTAATACCTGTCTGTCTTTTTCTCTTTTTCTCACTTCTCTAAAAGTGCTAAAAAAGATATCAGAGCAAAGGGGCCAATTTATATGCTTTTAAAGAATTTGAGAATAACTTGGGGAAAGTTTAACAATGAAGACGTTCACCAAGTAAAATTAAGCACTGATGCTGTGTGCACCTAAAAATTTTTGAGCTTTACAACAGAAATCGCAAGAAGTGAACAGTGGAACAGAATGAAATCAGACATCTGCTTCCTTACTTGGTGGTAAAGGCACACTAGAAAGGGTACTGTTCAACGTATCATTAAGGGATGGGACACAATAAAGTTGCGCCGGTGGTAATAGTGCCGCCTTCCGAAGAGATGACTCTGGAAAAAAAAAGTATTGTGACTTATTAAATTGATCTCTTGTTCATAAATTGTCCTGGGACATCAAAAGTGTAGGCCGAGGTTTGGTGAAAGGCAACTCACAGCACTATTATGCATGTTCTATATAATGAAAATTACATTCGCACTTGAAGCTGCGGGTAGAAAATTAAACAAATGAAAGCCAAAACTTGCGATTTAAAATAATCCCATTATTCTTTCAAAGAATTGAACGAAAAAAGAACTTACTAGCTGGTAGAGCGTCAAGCTGCGGAATGGAACACGGTGCAGCTGTTGGTGCACGTTTAACTTGGTTACGTGACTCATTATTAGTCGACTATAAAGCTTTTATAATTTCAATAGAAAGGGATATTATTTTCGTCGTTAAACTTCCAGAAAAACAATCTCTGATGCAGTAAAAAACTAAATTTTTCTAATTAGTCCATAAAAATGAAGCTCGAAACTTCAAGAATCCAGCAAAACTCACTTGCAACAGTGGACGATTGGCGGTGCCTTCAGATCTTAGTGTTGACCTATAATTATGCCTGGAAGTTGCGTTATTGTAGGAGTGTACACTCCCTTTCAATCGTCTACCCATTCTGCAAAGATTCAATTAGTAATAATTTCATTATTTGAGACTTCAATTGTCTTTGCGGCACTTGGATCCCGAATTTTGCAGTACAATCTTCATTTTGAGTACGTCAAGTATTCGTAGAAATGCCGAAATCTGAGAAACATTCCGTTTCTTTGGGACTTAGTTTTTTTGTCGAAAAGAAAAAACGTACAGTATAGAATAGAATATGATGAGAATAAGGAGAATAAGCAGAATACCGACAAAGACACCGAGAACTATTGTTGCGACTTTAAAACTGGACGACACCACATCCTGAAATTCAAGATTTCGAAATTCTGAAAGCCAGAAATAAGTAACGATTTTCTGAAAGAATCACAAATCAAAGATAGAACCAAAAACAATAGCAAGAGGACATTTACTGACTGCAACAGAAGGAGCAAGAATGCCGCCATTCGAATTTTGACAGTATGATCCTTGAGTAATTCCCCATGGACATGAAAGGCAGTTTTGGACCTAAATTAACGTTTGGCATGAACTGCGCAAGTATGACCTTTGTGCATCTGTTATGGTCTAATATTAACATTCTTTAGCCACAGATAAAATTATGAAATAAACAGATAATCAATAAAATAATTATTGTTACACTGAATGCCTTCACACTATCAAAAAAGTAAGCTGATGAGCAAATAAGCAAATATAAAGAGAGTCAATATTAAAGTTAGCTGCTTACTTGTCCATTTTCCATATAAGTGCAAGTATAGAAAAAGTTTGTTATATTAGACTGGCATACTGCTATTGCTGTATTAGCCACTGCTTCTTTGCAAGTTAAATCACAGTTTTGTCCGATTAAAGTACTCCTGCACTGTATTGAATATGCAACTGTTAATCTGCAAATGAATTAATTTGAAACTCCGAGCAAATGATGCGTTCATTTCTCCTGCAAAAATACATCTTACTATATTAAGTGTCAAACTTACTGCGTTTGGAGAATAACACCACGAAGATTTCGTGACTGCATAGATAAATGAGTATTTCCAATAGACGGTGTCACAGAATTCAGCGATAGAATAAAAGTATCAACATGGACAACTGTTTGAATCTGTGTCAGCTCACCTGTGTACGCATTAATAACGACGCCCAAATGATGAACGAATACATCAATTGCTGACTGAAAGTTTTGATGCTTATCCTAGTTATGGCAAATCTCTCTTATCGTATCAAAAAGACAGAAAGATTGTTTGCTGATCAAATACATTTATTTGATTACCATATCATATTTAAAAGTAATAATTTATTGAAATTTATAACCGGTTTTGAAGTGAGATAGAATGTATGGGGCTGTTGCCAAGCTTGTTTTTGCTGTGGTGACATGCTGTCGATATCAATGTTTCCAGAAGGCGTTAAAGGCGTAAATTCAGTTGAGAAGTATTTTATCGATTCACTAAAACTTTCGTTTATTTTATATTAGAATATCACTTTTTCAGGCAGCACAGCAGCACGGAAGAGGAAGATCTGCATTGAATTTTCACTCCCAAACTTATTCTGACTTAGGTGATAACCGAAGACATAAAAAAATAAATAATTGCATAAGACTCACTCTGCTGATAACAGAATGACTGTAAATGACATATAACATCGTGGAACAGAGCTACCAAGATAACTGCAAGAGAATTCACTTGGACAAACACAAGTGTGTCCATTTGGAAGTTGAAGTCCTTGGTTAATGTAATCTATGAGTTGTATTTGTACCATCACATTTGCTGTTTCAGAAACATTCGCTGATTCGGAGTTGTAATCCTGAAGCATATTTTTGCAAATAAAATAATTATACATTTCTGATGTTGCAATGCAGAAATAGGAAAGAAGAAAAAAGATCAATCTGCTCAGTGTATAACAAATTTGGCTGAGAACATTTTCTGGAATGTCACCTTTATTGCTTCGATCAAAAATATATTGTTTGTTAGATATAGATTAATATGAAACAAATTAGAAGTAAACTAGAATGGAAGAAAATGAGAAGATATGAAATAACTTACAAAATGACTTATCGGTTGAAACATCTGAACATTTTGATACATTGTCTCAAAATTATTTTGGTCGTTAAAATAATGGCTTCGAGGACGGGAAATCTAAAAAAAAAGACAACAAAAACTATGTACGTTTGAAACAAAGCATGCCGTTGTGGAAGACAAAAAGGAATTTTTTGAGCATTTTTTATAAATTTCAATGATTGCAATCTTGAAGTAATTTATTTCGAAATTTCCGCTAAATCAGAAAAACAGAAATTATTTTAGATTAAGTCACAGCCATGAATTCCCTCTTTTTCACTTTTTGTCCATTTGCTCCAATCAATGTAACAATTGATGCAAACATATTGAACATTTGAGTGATAATCTGATGAGGATTAATCTTGCTATCAAGGCATGAAATAGGACTTAGAGACTTTTTTGATTGAATTATTCCTTGATAAATGGCAAGCAACATCCTTAGCAGAACCGATATTAAATTGTTGTTAGATGATTTTCTACAGGTTTCAGCATCAATGCATGCATGTCATTGAAATTATTATGACAGTCCCAAAACGGTTTTCAGCAGCTCATATAAAAAATTATACAGAGTATGATCTACTGAAACGCCAACAGAGGGTCTTTCTTAAAAGTTTTCTTCGCTATAATTGCTAATATTGTAGAAGGCTGGTAGTTGTCTGATGTAAATGTATCAAACCCGCTTTGTTGGTCAATTTATTCGAGGTTTTTTTTGGGCAGAATTGAATAAAACTGAAGGACATTTTTCACGAATTAATTGCTTGGAAAACTTTGAGCATTTCTATGATTCCATTAGAAATTTGACGAATAAATTTCGAAATTTCCAAGTCAACTTGCTAAAATAGGGCGCAAAAAGTGACAAAAAAAACCAAATATTAGCATTTTTTTTCAGAATTCTACCAGCTGCGAAAAGAACGCAATTTAAAACTTTTTCTAGTTAGATGAATGAGGATTAGAAAAGAAGTTTGAATTTTACAAAAACACAATTACAAAAATTAGTTTGAAATAAGTAGCCAAAAACTAACGAGGTTTTTGGGATTCACCTGGGATCCGAACATTCTGTGATCTGAACGAAAATTATTTCCACGCATGTTATCGTTAAAATGAGCACCAAATTGACTTGTATTCGATGCAGTGGTCTGTTGAAAATAAATTAGAAAGGTTGATGTGTACACTATACTCACTCCTCTCATCTTTTTCGAATTCTTCGCAAGTAATGTAATCAATCCTCTCTTAATACTATTTGTATTTATATTTGCCGGTATTTGGATTTCTGTATTCTCCACTTTCGATTTGATCGTTTATTTAGTTCTTTCTGCAAAATTGATTGGTTTTTCAAATCACACTGTAATTGAAATACCACCAATAGCGATCAATAAGAATTTAAGAAATTATTATACATTGAAAAAGCTAAGCAATCGACAAATTTCGGACTAGGAACATCCATGTGTTCAGTGCTTAATTTTAATTGCAAGTGGAAAAACGACAATGATTGCCACGCTTTTAATGGTGGAAAATAATAGCCTAAATATTTAACGAATTCCTATAAAGGTATGGATGTAAGGGTTTGATATCATGATTTTTGCAGAAGAAGTAGTTCATATGAGAACTTGGTTTCTAAAAAAAAAATACTGCGTCAGATTACAAATTGGCCTATAAATGAATTACAATTGGACCTGGAATGGTAAAGGGTTCACAAGAATATTCAATACTGGAATTTCAACCAAATATTGAATACCAGTGAAATAAAATTAATTTTCATTAATCTATTGAGAAATGAATGCAAATCATGATGGCCTAAATATCTGAATAAAAAGGTGGATAATGGGAATGTTATAGTGATCCTAGGATGACAATCAAAATTCTTATCAGTGAGACAGTAAAGATGTAGGCAGTAAAGGGGGAAGAATTGAATTACATAATAGCCATAGACCATAAAATCTGAAACATTACGGTGGTACCAAATCGTGAATTATATATGGGCATCATTGACTGGAAGCAAAAGCTTCTGCAATTTTCTACAAGCTGAAAAGATAATGGCTTCCTCGCCGATGTTCTTCTTTCCTATGCGGCAAGCAAAGTCCATACCCTCTCTGTTACGAACTGTTTTGTATGTTTAATGATTCACTGCATCAATATATGAACATTTCTATCTGCTGCTTCCGCGTCATCTTGGCTTCAATAACGTTGAAGGTAACATACACACAATGAATGCTTCGATGACTACGTCATTTATTCCATGTGTGGTTTCCCAAACATTTGTTTCTATTCGGATGGGAAAAGCAATTTCAGTCATTCCATCAAAAATAATCATTTTTATAACGATTTAAAGAAGAAAAAAGGTTACGGAAGGTTCAGTGTTATGACACGAAACAAGTAGTTAGTTGATCAAAAAAATTTTCAATTTCATTTTAATTAACTGCAGGACGAAATTTATTTTTTGCTTGGAGAACAGATCCAGCTAGGTGAAAGATGATTTCCAATAAAATTATCATAACATGAATAATTGAAGGCATATTGATGGAAGAATTTTCTCATGTTTTCAAGTCGATAAAGCACTTTTTTTTTCAGATGCTTCCCTGTCACTGATATCATGCCATTCATAATCCAAAATCCGACAACTTTAAGTTTTCTTTAATTTCGATCATCGTTGTCGATATTTCCTGTAGCAACTTCATTGGTTACGCATTCAAATTCTTGAATGCTGAATTTAGAAACTAGCGAAGATTTCCACTTTTTTCACCTTGAGGAGAGCAAGAATCGAAAATTAGTTTACTTAATGATAAGGAGCAGTTCGAAGTTTAGCAACAGTTGCGAGAATAGTATGAAATACAAAGGTACTGAGAAGGGATGCTTATTTATTATCGCCACATAATTGTAGGTCATGACGAGGAAGCATGTATCTACCCATCTCCTTATATCGCTTGCACAACTTTCCATGCACTTTAACATTTCATCCTGCTCTGAATTACCATATTATGTTGTCCATGATGAAATGATAACGGAAGTTTCAACGATAACGCATCGTTTATAAATCTGTCCTCTCAAATTTTACTTTTATTCATTTCCTCTATAAGGTTAACAAAACTCCACTATACTTTGCTATCAGATTTTGGACAATTATTTCAAATTAGAAATCTAATACCATTGGTTCCAACGCAGCCATACGTCATCCACTGTAAGTCATTTCATTTTCCCTATAGGCGATTGCTTGACGGAAACGTTAACTGTATGCAAAAGAAATGAGAAATGCGATGCCAGTCGCCCAACTCTTCGTTTCTATTTCTACTAAGCCATTATAAGTCAAAATAATACTTTTTTTTTTCAAAATAATACTTTTCAAATCGATATCTAAGATTTTTTCGAATCAAATTCTTAATTTAATTTCAGTTTTAATTGCTTGAATGCAACACATGAAAGTGCGTGCAGCGTCGATATTTGCTTGTACTGCTGATTTGATTGTACCCACTTCCGAAGCACTTCATATAATTGCAAGAAATCAGATCAGATAGATGCTTTGAGAATATAGATGTAATGAACTCTTTTATCCACTACATTCAGTGCAAACAAAAAGAATTCATGCTTGCATACAATCGAAATGAATGAAAATAAAATTCTAAATTCCGCAAACTTTTATTCTACATTATACACGTATTGACGTCTATATGAAACTATATTTGAAGAAAACAGGTAGAGCTAAGAGAAAAGCAAATTATGCAATGTATCATAATGTTATACAGCCAAATTTCAAAAAATCTTTTAGCTCCAGACACAAAATTTGAAAATTGCTGCATTACAAATATAAAACTTTTAGATGGAAAGTAAAATGTAAAGTAAAATTTGAATTTCTATTAGAAATACGCAAAGGTGACTAGTAAATATATTATTATTTTTTCTTCAGTAAGCAATTTTTTCATGCTGATTTATTTTTGTGATTTAATATCAACTATAGTTACTTTAGCATCAGTTATAGCAATCTTCGTAGTCGTACAGTGTTCCAGTTCTTTATCAAATTTGCTGATCATTATCAGCATATATACTATAGCTAGCAGACCTGATGTGTATAGTGAAGCCATAAGCATAGCTACTAGTCTGAAATACAAATATTTGATACAAAAACTTTACTGTACAAAAACTCCAACTTTTCAAAAAGTCAATCCTATTAATTTTAATAAATTATTGCCATAATTAAATCGAAATCTTTAACAAATTCCTAACAATTTTCAACAAATTTTTTTTTAACACTAATAGAAATTTTTGAAGTAGTATGCATGCTTAGGCTTTTTACACTTTTATTTTGAAATTAAACATCCATCAATTAGTCTACTGAAACAATCTCATTTTCATTGATAGCGGGTGCACTTCAAAAAATGGCACGCATGTATTTCCTGAAAAAAAACTCACGGCACCATCCGTAAACTACTTCGTTTAATTTACTCATTTGTTATTGAGAGTTGAATATTTAGGAAAATTTAAAAGTCATAAAAGTGGTGGCTACTGCTTACCCTGTCATTACGTAAAACAAAATAGCATGATGTTGTGCGTAAATGAGATAAATGAGCGAATAAGCTAGCAGTAGACTTGTAATCACACTGAGTTGAAGTTTTGTCAAGGGACAAAAACTTAAGGGTTGTTGAGGCTTCGGGTCCGTCACCGTTGAACTGTCGTGCATATGGCATACGAATACCACTCATATATATATATATATATATATATGTGTGTTCCTTTTCAGTAGTTTTGTCGAACTATTTCTTTCTGAAA